TAAACCAGCTGACTGCTGACTCCCAGGACCCAGGTCCAGGCGTCTTCCTCTGCCCATGTGTCAGTGCATAAGGGCACTAGTGGCCCTGACCTTGCAGGGCTGGGTTATTTCTGTGCTGGCCCAGGATTCCTGCAGAACCATTGCCAGGTACCAGAATCGGCAGGCATTGAGGACTAAGTTCCTTCCTGAGCAAAAGGATGTACAGCATGCTGGCTGAGTAGCTCTTTTCAAGGCTGTGTGCCACCTCTCCCTCCATCATAACCCCCTCCCAAGTGGGCAGCATGGCACTAGCTTTGTGTAACTTGTTGCTTCCAAGTGCAGGACTACCCCATGGGCTGTGGCTCCAGGTTGCTTACTGGGTTTTCCCAGCTGTATCCCAGGGTGCAGTCCCGGCTGAGTCACAAGGCATTTTCTTGGATTTAGCAGGGCTGGACATGGTTGTCCCTTGTTTTGATGTCAGCTTACTCAGGAGACCCCTCCTCTGCCATGTGGTAAAGTATTGCCAGTGAGGCCATTTTCTAGCTCCTGTTCCCTCTCTCCATCCACTCACTCCTTCCTTCTCATCATCCTCCTTTATTCTCTTTTTTGAGCTTCTTCTCTTTTTTAAATATTTTATTTGTTAATTTTATATGTGTGAGTGTATTGCCTGCATGTATGTAAGTGCACCTGTGTCGTGCAATGCACGTGGTCAGAAGAGGATGGCAGATTCCCCTGGAACTGGAGTTACAGATGGTTGTTAGCCACCATATGGGTGCTGGGAACCAATCTCAGGTCCTCTGCAAGAGCAGGCAGTGCTCCTAACCACTAAGCCATCTTTCTAGCTTCTTTCTCTTGGTTTTTTAGTCAATAATTTCATTTAAAGTCCATTTCTTGGGGGCCCATTGTGACATATAAAGTTTACAGTGTGAACAATATCTTTTTATGTGCATGTGGTGCTGGGAATTGAACCCAGAGCCTAGTGCATGCTAGAAAAGTGCTCTACCACTGAGCCACACCCTCAGTCCACAACTGCTAATATCTGAAGTGACCAGAGACCTTCTAGGTAGCAGGAGCTCTGCCCAGCCCTGTCCTGCCATAGCTTGTCGAGGCAGGCATCTACCTCCATTCCTTAGGTATGCCATCAGATGTTCCAGGGAAGTTGCTTACACAAAGGCCACCAGCTAAGTACCAGGCAGAACATTTAACCCTGGGTCTCGAGTGCCCCAGAGCCCATGCACTTTCATCTGAACCATGTGACATGGGAACAGTGCCTCATACTGACATAATGATCATGTGTCATGTATTCTGCCAAGTGCCTAGTGGGCCTTATTCCATCTCATCCTTGCAGCATCCTTCCGAGGTGAGCCTCTGAATACAAACTCTATATAAATCAGACACAGCTTTACACTGAACAAGACACACCCCATAAAGTTACTTGTCCAAGGCCATGTGGCCTCATGAAGAAATGGAAAAATCAGGTTTTGAACCCAGACTGATGATTTAAAATTCACCACACTCAACTATGTTCCTATTAGAATGGATTTTAGTATATTGCCAACCAGTATAAGGATTTTTGTTAGAACAACGACAACAAAAAGCAAAACCCAAAGTACTCTTAAGTTGCATTATTCAAAGTAGAGTAGACATATTAAATGCTCTGCCTTGAGCTGGTCAGGGCACATGTGGAGCACTGTGTGGGTCTGTTCACTGGTGTGAAGGTGCGCCCATGGCCTTCAATATGGAAAGAGAGGTGTCTATAGTATCAGCTCAGAGCTCAAGAGGTGGCACATTAAATACAGAGAGGAAGAGTCCAGTTTAAGAGATGGAAACACTGACAGACTAGCTCAGTAGGGCATAATCACAAGGGGCAGAGACCAGGCTAGCTCATAAACAAGTCCTCAGAGAACAAAGCCCTTCCTTGCTTATTAAACCTCTTCTGCAGTAAGTGTCCCCAAATTTGGCTGGTTCTACTGTAAGCCACGCCACAGCCTTCCCAGCTCCAGGCCTCTGGACTGACTATCCTGAGCCTGCAGGGTGGCCCATGTGAGAGCCTTACTCCCTTAAGTACTGGGTGGAATCTCTGAACAATTGATTCTTCTCCTTGCTGTTCCCCTTCTTTTCTCCCAACTCCCTAGGGTCCTTAAGGCCTAGTGCCTGGAATCCCTGAGGGGTTGGGGAGTACAAACTGGTTCTCCAGGCCTTCCCCACCATCATCTCCTCCACTCCCTTCACCTCTTCTCCCTTCCTGCTCAGCCCCCTCCCCTATGCTTCCGTGCAGCCTCCAAGCCATTGCCATTGCTGTCTTGCTGTCAGTCAATTCTCTAGAATAACTGGGTTTTCTGGTTCGCTCCCTCCTTGTCGCCAATGTGATGCTGAGAAACACCAACCAGCCAGGCCCTAGAACCCCGGAGCAGCAGGAGACTTGGAGGAAGGACAGCATCCAATCTTGACGGGTCCAGATAACGCAGCTTCTGGAAGGGGGTACTGAGAGGGGAGCAAAACACAAAGGCTTTAGATAGACTCCTCTACCTTCAGTGGAAGACCAGTTCTGGCCTCTGCTTTCCTTGTTGGCTTAGTCTTCCAGGTTTTGCTGGGGAACCTGGGTACCCCCCAGCCACTTCACCTAGGCACAGGGAGGACCACAGGCCATGGTGTGGATTACAGGGGTAGCAGTCAAATTTGGGATCACTGACTGCAGAAGGAGTTCAGTCACCAAGAAGGGCCTAGATGATTACTGTTTGTCTAAGAGCCACTCTGGGTCCTGGAGAGATATAGCTCAGTGGGTAAAATCCATGAAGACATGAGTTTGAGTCTTGGAGTAGAAAAAAAATGTGTGTGGCTTTCAGGGTTGGATAGACCTTGCTTCAATCCTGAATTTGCCACTTGGTGGCTACCACCCAACACCCCTGGATTGTATCTACAATAGGATGGCTTCCATAGGCTGCTTGCAGATGAGATGTAGGCGTCATTCATGGCACATGGCCATTACTGTCACTGTAAGTTACAGGACTCCATAGAGTGGGACATAGCATAGCCATTAAAAGATTGGCCAGGCTGGGTGTGATGGTACACACTTTTGATCCCAGCACTTTGGAGGCAGAGACAGGTAGAGCTCTATGAGATCGAGGCCAGTCTGGTCTACATAGGAGACCCTGTCTCAAAATAAAAAACAAAACACACACACAAAAAAAACAAAAAACAAAAAAAAACCCAACAACAAAGACTGTGGCTAGAATCAGCTGTTGGCATGAAGAGGCAGTGTTTAGGGTACAGAGGAAAAAAGTGCTTGTAAAACATGAAACATGTGCAGCAGGGTTCTGACCCCCAGGTCTGTGCCTGTGGAAGGGCCTGATGCAGTTCACAGACACTCAGAAGTTAGCCACAGAATCTGGTGATAGTGTTCTGAGGAAACTAGTCAAAGTTACCACATTTTCCAAGTTACCCATGAAAGTTTAAAAACTATCGGTGTTTATAGAGTACAACTCAATTTTTGCATTAAAAAAATCCCAAGATACATGTAAAAGAATCTGCCATGTCATAATCAAAATATGAAAAGTGCTTTTCTTTGAGTGGTGGTGGACTGACAGGCAGTTATGATTTTCTTTTTGCTGAATGGTATTGTCTACAAAATAGTTTATATTATTTGTCTGGATTAAAGAGAAAAGGTTTGATGCTCAATGATGCTGCCCTCAAAATGCTCTATTTCTTGGATGAATTTATTTAACTTGTCTTCTTTATTGTCCTTATGTGACAATGAATGGAAACCTCAAAAGATAACTTAGTATTTAGATGTCACAGTTTATGCAAAGTGGATGAGGGGAGGAGACTACTTCTGGCTTCCCAGAGTATTAGGGTGTCATCAGTGCATGTGAAAAATGATTACTGTTTATCTAAGAGCCACTCTGGGGTCTGGAGAGATATAGCTTATGAAGGACCTGAGTTTGATTCTTGGAGTAGAAAAAAAAAAAGTGGGATGTGTTTGTAATCCCAGTTCTGGGGAGACTGAGACAGGAAGATTCCTGGGGCAAAGCTCTGGACAGCCAGCCTAGCCTGCATGGCAAGTTCCAGGTGAGGGCGAGAGAGAGAGAGAGAGAGAGAGAGAGAGAGAGAGATGAGAGAGAGAGAGAACTGGAGAGAGAGAGAGAGAGAGAGAGAGAGAGAGAGAGAAAAGAGAGAGAGATATGAGAGAGAGAGAGAGAGAGAGAGAGAGAGAGAGAGACTGACTTTGTCTTAAAGGTGGTGCCTGAGGAGCAACACCTCAAGTTGACCTCTGGCCTCCATATGCACGAGCATATATGTGTATATGCACATACCTGTGTGTGTTCACACATACAAGAGTCGCTCTGTTTTAGGTGTTTTGAATAAAAAAGGGCATCCCAGGGGTTAGAATTTAAGAAAACTTTTTTTCCCCTTGGAGGTGCTGGGTGGTGGGAAATCAGTCCACAGCCTTCTTTGTAAGATTGTCAATCCTAGCTGACATGGTGGCACACGCAATCCCAACACTCCTGATGAATTCTAGGCCAGCTGGGAGTTTCTGTCTCAGAAAACAGAAGAGGGGCTTGAGGATGTAGCTCAGTTGGTAGAGACCTTGGCTAGTATGCAGGTGTAGTGGCAGGCACCTCTGGTGGAGCAGGGGCGTCAGTAGTTCAAGGTCATCCTTTGCTACAAAGTGAGTTCCAGACTAGCCTCTTCCTCCAAAAAGCCAAAACACTCTTCCCAATATACTTTTATCAATCCGGTCAGAGTTCTGCAGGCTCACTGCAGACAGTAAGGAAAACAGGCACATTCCAGATAAAACGCCTGTCGGCTTGGAAGCACTTGGAAGCAAGCGGGTGGCCTTGAAGGTGCTGTCTTCCAGCTAGCTGCATGCATGCCTTTGTCCGAACAGTAGATTCCCGGTCGCTTCCCGCCCTTGTTCCTGACTCTTGTCAGAGCATCTTCAGGGCTAGTCAGCGTCTGCTGAGCGTGTCCATGGTGCAAGCCTGGTCGGTGACCGCCATCTCTCGTCCTTCCCGCCGCAGACAGTGAGCTGGTGCTGCCCGACTGCCTGCGGCCGCGCTCCTTCACGGCTCTTCGGCGGCCGTCGCTGCGGCGCGAGGCAGACGAGACGCGCCTGTCGGTGAGTCTGTGCGACCTCAAAGTGCCGAGCGCGGACGGCGACGAGGGCACGCCCCCCGCCGGCTGCCCGATCCCCCAGAACTCGCTCAACTCGCAGCACAGCCGCGCGCTGCCCGCACAGCTCGACGGCGACCTACGCTTCCACGCGCTGCGCGCGGGTGCACACGTCCGCATCCTGGACGAGCAGACGGTGGCGCGCCTGGAGCACGGGCGAGACGAGCGCGCGCTCGTCTTCACCAGCAGGCCGGTGCGCGTGTCCGAGACCATCTTCATCAAAGTCACGCGCTCGGGCGGCGCGCGAGCCGGCGTGCTGTCCTTCGGGGTCACCACGTGTGACCCCGGCACCCTGCGGCCGGCGGACCTGCCCTTCAGTCCCGAGGCTCTGGTGGACCGCAAGGAGTTCTGGGCGGTGTGCCGCGTGCCCGGGCCGCTGCACAGCGGCGACATCCTGGGCCTGGTGCTCACTGCAGATGGAGAGCTGCACCTGAGTCACAACGGGGCGCCGGCTGGCATGCAGCTGTGCGTGGACGCCTCGCAGCCGCTCTGGATGCTCTTCAGCCTGCATGGCGCCATGACGCAGGTCCGCATCCTCGGTGAGTCCTGGACACCCCTAGGTCATGGTAGTCATGCTAGGCAGTCACATCCTTGGTGAGTGCTGAGCCAGGCCCAGACATCTGGTCCACCAGAGATCCTCAGCTGTCCATGAGCCCCACCTGAGCCTGGGGAGTGTAGTGTGATTGCTGCGTTCACGCCCCAAATCGGATCAAGGTATATTCCCATAGGCACAGAAACTGCCCAGATCTACACCCCTCAGGGGTAGTATGGACATGGGGGAAAATAGGGTCTTCACCAGCAGTGAACTTTTTGAGGCTTGGTTTCCATGTCTCTACAATGGGAACAAAGGTCCCTGCTCGTAAGGTTGGTTGTGGGTCTTAATGAAAATCAGGTTGGGCTGGTTGTGATGGCCCCATGCTTGAAATCTCAGCACACAAGAGACAGAGGCAGGAAGATCCCTGCAAGTTTGAGGCTAATCCTGTCTACAAGTGAGCTTCAGGCCAGCTAGTGCTGTACAGCAAGACCCTGTCTCAAAAAAAAAACCAAAAAACAAAACAACAAAAACAAAACAAAAAACCACAAAACAAAACAGAACAACTCCAAAACCAAGTAACAGCAAAAACACCAGACTGGTGTCTTCCTGGCTTCTAGGGGAATCCCTGAGCAGGCAACCTCCCTGAGACTTGAGGGAATGCAATTGCAGAGTTTAGGGTTTCCTTTTCTGAGGAAGCAGAGTTTGACTGGGTTGGAGGATGTGGGTCTGTGTTAAGCTGTGCTTCCAGATTGTTCTAAGGGATTGATTATTGTAACTAAATCAACCAAAGGGAGGATGGGTTTAAGTTGGCTCAGGGTTACAGAACAGTCCATTACAGCAGGGGTGTGAAAGCTCCTCACACTGAATTCATCCAGGGTCAGTAGAGATGAATGCTGGTGCTCAGCTTCCTTTCTCTTTTTCCTTTTTATTCAATCTGGGAAGCCAGCCCATGGGATGGTGGATCTTCCCTGCGCAGTTAAACCTCTCTGGAAACACTCTCACAGACACACTTAGAGGTGTAGCTCCTAGGTGATTCTAAGTACAGTCAAATTGACAATGAAGGTGAAGCATCACAGGGCCTTGTGGTTTAAGAAGTTTGGGAAACATTGAATTCAGAAAGGAAGTGAAAGCATTCTTTATTGGAGAACCTTTAAAATGCAGTGTGACTATTTAAGGGGGGTTATGGTGCACAGTTCTTCCAAACTAACCCCCCCCCAAAGCATCTCCCGGGGCCTGTGTCACCTCAGAGTGAGCAGGTGTTCATGTCCTCCCAGTGCCCATTTGTTAATTAGCCCTGTCAGCCTGGGTGGGTTTCATTAGCTTCAGTGGGAGAATCTAGTGAAGTGTACATCTTTGAATCCCACCTTCAGAGATTCTAATCTTGTAGCTTTAGGGTGGATTCTGGGTATCTGATTTTTTAAAAAGCAAATATCCTTAGCCAAGGTTGGAGAGTCCTGGGTCTCTCAGCTCCTAAGCTCAAACCAGGAAGCTTGAAAGGATAGAGTGTGTGTCAAATGAACAGGCCTCAGCTGCTCTCTGAGCTCAGCCTACTGTGGAGGGTCCCAGGTAGCCAAATGCCTGTGTGTTTACCTCTGTAGAGCTGTTGTGATTGTGAGTGTGGAGAGGCTGTGAAATCAGGTAACACCAGTGCAAACCTCCATCCCTGTAGAGACCAAGTGAAGGTACAGTGAAAAGCAATGAGGCTGAGGTGCCAAAGAGTTAAAAGTGAGGGAAGGTAATTAAAGAAGGAAAGAAATGAAATCAGGTTAGAGGAAATGAAACCAAGCAGGAAGATGAATCAGGCTGTGGTGAGAATTCTGGATGAAATAAAAAGAAACTGGATTTGGGTGGGGGGAATCCAAGCTGACGTGAGAGATAAATGGCTCTGCTCACTGCACCTAGGAGGAGGGAAATCACGCAAGGATAAGGTACTCTCTTGCATCAGCACATCTAATAATAGCTAAAGTAGCTTTCCAGTAAGGCTTCTGTCATTCAAAGAGGTTTATGAGACTGGAGTAAAGGGGAATTTAAAAAATGTATCAGGACTTTTCTGTTCTGTGTGGTAAGTGGGTCAAGGTGGATGTTAAGAAAAACTATTCAGAATTCAGGGTCTTTTAATAGCAGAGTGCTCTTGAGCTTTCTAGAGAATAGGGCATCTCAATCAGCAAAGTGGTGTTGGGGAGTCCTGATGGATTCCAGAGTCAGTAGCAGAATATGAAGGATTGTTATTCCCCTTACATACAAGTGATTGGCTTTGTGATAATTTAAGGATATTTCCTTTATTTACATGTATAAAACCTATAGCCAATTCTGTATTCACTGGAGGAACAAAACTGTTCTCATTAAAGATTATATTAGAGATGATTTGTAGACATGGTTTTGAAATGCTAGCCAGTGCAATAAGGTAAGAAAAGTAAATAGGAGGTTGGTATTTCTGAAAGGAGATGATAATTGACTTAAAAATATTTACACAGTAAGAGAAATACTATGACCTGGGCCTGTGGTACAGACCTGTAATGCCAGCTATTTGGGAGGCTGAGGCAGGAAGACCACAAGTTCAAGGTCTGCCTGGACTACAGAGAAATTTCAAGGTCAATCTAGGGAACTTAGTGAGACACTATCTTAAAATAAAAAGCAAAATAAGGGTGAAGGACATTGCTTAGTGATAGAGTTCTTTCCTAACATGTATGAGGCCCCGAGTTCAATGTCTGGTATGGAGAGAGAGGGCAGGGAGGGAAGGAAAGGGAAGGGAAGGGGAGAGGAGAGAGGAGAAGAAGAGGAGACTCCCATGAACATTTATTGAATATTCTTAGAAATAATAACACTATTAAATGAGTTACAACTAATAATAAAAAATTTATCCAGAACCTGCTTGTTAGTAGAACATTCTTTTAGAGCCTGTGGGAGAGCCACAGGCAAGTGAGGTTTCCTATTCTCAGAAAGCTCTTGGTTCTGCTGGAGAAAGAGTTGGATTCCTAGGCAAAGAACACACAATACTTAAGGCTGTGTGGTTTGGTATGGTTGGTTAGTGAGGATGGGCTAATGGAGTTTTCCAGGAGTCAAGGCTGCCCAGAGAGAGGGGTTTGAAGAAAGCCCCAGGAGGCTCCCTGGACAGTTAGCTTTTTGAGTGCAAGGGTTCTGTCCCCAGTCTCATGTGTGCACAGTGAGCCCCCAGAAAGGACTTTTGGAAGGAGGGGACAAGGGAGAGGAGAGGGAGGGAGGGTGGGGGGGAAGGAAGGAAGGAAGGAGGGAGGGAGGGAAGGGAATGGATGTGGGACCAGAATACATGGACCAATGTGGCAGGATAGAGAAGGTGGGTGGTTCCTGGGCACTGTGGAGGAGAGGGCAGGGCTCTGACAGAGGGCTGAGGTAAAATGCAGGGACGTGGAGACTTTATTCTCTGAAAGCAAAAGGTGCCTAGGGAGGAGTGGAAGGGAGCTGCCAAACTAATCAGGAGCTAGTTTGGAGATTGTGGGTAAGACCAGAGTGTGATGCTACCTCAAGATCTGTAGGTAAGGACAGAACAGGACTGGGGGCTGAGCCAGCCTGTGGGGTCTTGCTCTGAGCCTGAGGCTGTCCTCTGGGCAGGCATGGGAGTCCCTTATGTGGGTGGGGACTGGAGCTTTTTCCACTAGGCTAATAGTGTGGCTCTTCCCCCTTCCCAAGGCTCCACCATCATGACCGAGCGGGGTGGCCCATCTCTGCCCTGCTCACCTGCCTCCACTCCAACCTCACCCAGTATCCTGAGCGACCGACTCTTCGATCCCCTGCTCAGCACCTGCAACTCTGGGCCTCTGGGTGGCTCTGCTGGTGGTGAGTACAAAGGCCCTGTGGTTAGATCAGTGCTTCCCTCCTCATGTCCTGCTGAGGAGACAGTGCAGCTATGGATGTGAGGCTGGGGGGTGGGGTGGGGTGGCATGGGGGTTCTGAAGAGGAGGGATAGGAGATGAGCAGCTTCCTCCAGAGGGACTTTAAAAAAAAACACACACACAGGATATCAAAGGGTAGTTCAGGAAAATCATGCCTTAAAAGACTTGGGATGCCCTTCTGTCTTCCGTCCTCCTTCCTTTCCTCTCTCTGCCTCCTGCCACCCTGGCTCTGGTCTGGGTCTGTATGGCTAGAGCTAGGCTGCCAGAGCTCAGTCTCTTTCCTTGGGTAGCAAGGTGAGCCATCAGCAGTCCACAGTGGAGGGAGGCGTGAGCCCAGGGACCCTTTTCTTATGGGCTCTGTGCTGGACTGGGTCATGTCCCCTCCTGACTGGTGCTGTTTGCTCCCAGGGACAGCCCCCAACTCACCAGTGAGCCTGCCAGAGTCACCAGTGACCCCAGGCATGGGCCAGTGGAGCGATGAGTGCACCATTTGCTATGAACACACAGTGGACACAGTCATCTACACATGTGGTCACATGTGCCTCTGCTACTCCTGTGGTCTGCGCCTCAAGAAGGCCCTGCATGCCTGCTGCCCCATCTGCCGCCGCCCCATCAAGGACATCATCAAGACCTATCGTAGTTCCTAGCCCACTGCAGAGCCCCACCCCACATGCCCATTTCTACAGACTTCAGCCCAGCACCAGCCAAGGGCCAAGCCAACAGGGTCCCTTTTCTTCTGCATTTTGCAAATTCTTCCTCCTTTCCATTAAACAAGGGAAACCAAGGCCCCAGAAGGTTTGGGCTGAGAGTGGGTCTAAGGCTGGGAGGTAGGGGCAGAAGCACATGGTGAACAGAGGAGGCAAGGTCACTCCACCATCTTTCCCTCCCCTGTACCCAGCTCTTCTCTGCATGCTGAGAAGCTAAGTTGGAGTCTCAGCTCGTTCCAACCCCTCCCCATCTGAGCAGATTTCTAGGAGGTTTGTGTAGCCCCTGTTGCACCTTGGTGAGAGTTGGGGAACATGTAGCTTCCTCTGGGCAAATGTAGCCCTGAGCCAGGATGTGGGGCCTGACCTGGGGAGTAGACGCGAATCCTCGTCTCCATTTGCTCCCTCAGCCAGCTGCCCTTGAACAGAGTATAGCCTGCTCAACAGAGCCCTGGATGGGCAGCTCCTGAGCCACTCTCTGAGACCTATGCTCTCCTGTTTCCCCACTTCCTTGCCCATGGGGCATGGCAGCTGGGGAGGCCAGTGAGCTCCTCTCACCATGGGCAGCTGCAATGAGTATGTCTCTTCCCTTCTACCCAGGATGGGTAGCTGAACAGACTGCAGAGGTCTCTCTTGGCCATGTGCCTACCTGCCATGTTCAGGACCCTTTCTTCCCGTAGCCTTCTGCACCAATCATCTCACTGGTGCCATTGCCCAGGGTGCCATTGCCCAGAGTACCTTTCAGTATGGGCTGAGGTGGGCCTTTCACTGTCAGGGTCTATAGCCACACCCCTTGGGCCTGTCTGCTCTCATCTCAGTGCTGGCCTTGGCCTGGGCTGATCTTGCCATCATTAGTCCAGGAGGGGATTGGGCCCCCAGTAGTATGGGGGTTTCCTGGGCTATGAACAGTTTTTTTCCTTATTTTTATTTATTTATTTATTTGGTTTATGGGTTGGTTTGTGGATGAGTTCCATCTTGGGGCCTCTAAAAATGCTGCTGTTGGGGGGTTGCCTGGTGAGGGGACAGGAGAGGTAGTGGCTACTCAGAATCTTCCCCACACCTGACAAGGCTTTGGGAAGTCCTGCTAACCTAGAGGTGGGACTTCAGACCTAAGACCTCCCAGGAGGAAGATGAGCTCTCAGGCTGGGGAACCACCCAGAGCCACCCTGAGCCAAGGCTGCATTAGCATGACTGGCTCAGGTGCATCAGGTGGCCTAGGAGTCTGCCTCTATAACATCAAAAGTTCTGTAAGGCTTGGGCAGGGGATTCCCCACATAGGCCAGGGACCAGGAAGGAGACCCTTTTCAGGAGAGCTGGGAGGATCCTATGTCCTGTGAAGGAGTGCCCACCGCTCTTAGGCTATGGCCCCTGCAGCCCTACCTGCTTGTTCTGGGCCACTGTGGTGTCCTGGCCAAAGCTCCCTTAGCCTCCTAGTCCCTGGTCCTCAGATGACTGATTGTGCACCTTCAGAGATGGCTTCTTCCTTTACAGGCAGGGCCTGGGGTTCTGTACTTGCCCCTGGCCAGTTGTGTGGCCCTGGCTGCTGGTTACCCTCCAAACCCCAGCTTCCCCCTATATCAGGTGGTTATTGAGTGGTTGTTTAGGCTGGAGAAGACTTTCCATATGGCTCCTGAGATTTCTGGACTGCTGAGGGGCAGCGTGATGGAGGCACTGGGGACGGGATTCCAAGCTAGACCTTTGCCTGCACCAGCCTTGCAGGGGCCTGAGGAGACCTTGTGGTATTCTGGGTCTCACCTTTCCAGTCACCGGCCCTGGTAGACCTCTTCTGTGGAAGCAGGCTGGCTGGTAAGTGGCCCCATCCAGCCCAGAAATGGTCTTAGTGGTGAAGAAAGGCCCTAGTGCAGGGCTGTTTAGAGGTGGGAAAATAAGCCATCATCCATTCTGCTAGTACAGGGGTAGCCACTGCCTCCTTTGTAAACTCCGGTTGCTGTGATTGTGAATAAAGGTGACTTTGTACCAGCCTGAGGGCTGTGCCATGCGTGTGGGGGCTGGGAAGGGGAACTAGTGTGTGAGTGCACCTGAGTGGGTAGGGGCTGTGAGCAATTTCCCTGGCCTCTCTGGTTGTTCACTGTAGGCCTCTGAACCCTAAGGTGGTCTGTGATGGACAAGCCTCCCTGGACTCAGGCTTTGGAGCATGACCCAGGGCTTAGACAGTGGGGTCCAGAATGCCAGGAAAGCCTTGTAAGTTAGAAGGGAGAAGCTGCTACCCTTCTGGTGGCCTCTAGGCAGGTCAGGGAACAGGGTTAGGTAGGGTGATAAGGGAAATAAATCACAGGCATGCTGCTTCCTCTCAGGCCGAAGAACCTGTGGGGGAGGAATCGGAGTTGGGGAATGTGGGGTCAGCTAGAGCCCTGTGGCTGGAATGGTGGAGTTCCTACTGGTGGGTGCAAAGGCCTATATGTGAGTGGCGCCTCTGGGTGTGGGTGCGGAGGATAGTTTCCAGACAGGTACCATTTAAGGAACTTAGATGTGCTAAGTATATCTGGGTGGCAGGAAAAGCTGGGGACGGGGTATGAAGAAGGCAGCCAGATTGGTCCTAAGGTCTAGGTACAGTGTTTGACTTGTGCCCATTTGGCAGGGCCAGGCCTCAGAGGCATGTAGGATGCCTGGCTGCATCCTCTCCTGGGAGAAAGCTTTGTCTACCTAGCCTCAGCCTGTGCTTGAACTGACAGGTCTATTTTACCCTGCCACAGGAGGCTGAGGGCCAGGGGTCCAGCCTTGGCTATTCCCAGGCAGCCTCTGGGGAAGGGGCTGGAAGAGCTTGTTTGAACTGACCTCGCCTCCCACGTCCCATCCTCTTGGGCTGGGGGATTTGGAGTCAGCTGCTGTTTGGGCTGATGGGACTTGTGCTGTTCAGTTGAATGGGTCCTCTGGTGCTAGGGAGAATCAGGTGATTCTGTTCAGTTAAAAAGGCCAAAAACTTTATTTGTTTTCAGGGAAATACAAGATGCATGTAAACATAAACAAAATATGAAACAAAACAACCCAAATTTTACAGTCTAGAAGCATGCCAAGACAGAACATTACTGTGCACCTAAGAGTCCCATCAAACTGATAAAGGACACCTGGAAAGTGGCAGGTCAAGGGGTTGGGTCCCTTCCCCAAGGACACTGCATGTTTGTGATGAGATTTAAAAACCAATCCACTATTAAAATGATCAAAAACATGGAGATAGTTTAGCACCACCAAAGATCTCAGAGATTTGTTAGCACTCGAGTGGACAGTACTTCGTCCAAAGTCCTTTTCGCAGTTCCTCTGCTGTTGGGAGGAGGGTGCAGGGAGGGCAGAACCTGGGGGAAGGGCTCCTGCCGACCCCACTAAGCTGGCTGGAGATGACTGTTCACTATGAGGAAGTCCCTGCAATTCTGGAGCCCCAGTGACATCCATCAGCCATTACCCACCACACAGTCTACATCCCTACCCTGTGAGGGTGGCCACTCACATCTGCCTTAGAAGTCACCCTCCTGCAGGCCTCTCAGTAACTGGCAGGGATGCCCAGACCCTGTCTTCTGTCTGCTTCAGGGGACAAGTTGTAAGTTTGAGGATGACAGCTATTTACCCTTTAAAATCAACTCAAGAGCAGTGTGCTTCAGTAGAAGCCACTAGAGAATGGAAGAGTATATGCAGGGATGCTGGTGCACTTTACCTGGTGTGACTGATAGCAGGAAGGCCAACTCAGCACATGGACACCTACGTTTCTCTAGAACCTTGGGAATAACTGGTGTCAACAGAGACAAAGAGGTTGCCTTCTTCCCAGACAGGCCTACTGGAGTCTGGACCCTGAGTCTACCGTGGGGCTGTCTGTCCCTACTGTATGGCCTGTTATGGTCACTGGTCTCTGATTTGTACAGTTTGACAGGATAGCTCTGTATTGGGTAAAAGGCATTGGACAAAAAATACCCTAGGAATCTGGGGAGGTGGATGGAAGTCTTCTGGAAAAGGGCCTTCAAACCCAAAGATTGGCTTATGGTTGGCATTGTCTCTCCCCTCTAAGTAAATCAGTGATCATGGAGGCCCAGCTGTGACCCAGTGAGTGAGTTCTCTGGCCAACCTCCAGCCCTGACTGGCCCCTTGGCTGGTACATCACAAAAATCCCTATAAACCTGTTTTCTTCCTCATCAAACACTCAGAACAGACTTCTTCCTTCTTCCATCAGTAAAGACAGCACAATTCCAAATCCTGGCTCAGCCTTCCCACACCTTCTCTGCCTAGAAAACATCTGGATGCCTCCTCCCAGTACAGGGACAGTAAGCCCCAGCCATGCCAAACATTCACATTCATCTTGTCCACATGCCTCTCACTGGCTCCAACATGCTTGATGCATCCTTTTACTCAAAAACAATTCTCAAACCTCCTAAGGCCCAGCCCATTGGCTAGATGGGACTGGGAATAAGGCAGGGACTTTCAGCATCAGGGGGCCGCACTCTCTAAGGCCACTAAGTCCTGGGACTGTGCTGGGGGTGGGTACTGATTGTCAAGGTCAAGTGCAAATGAGATTTGGACAGCTAGGACAGGGGAAGAGGAGGGTCCCATGCCAATCTCAGCCATGCAGGCAGGTTAGAAGGTCGATCCCTTCACTCAATCTTTAAACACCAATGTGCCCACCTTGTGACCTAGGGACCTGGATACACAGGACAAAGCATAAGTTCAAATGAGTGCTAAAGTCACAGGGCACCATCCCTGTCCTCACTGGCTCTGAGCACAGAGCTTGGGGATCACAGGGACATGGGACTGTCCCAAACAGGGTATTTATCCAGAAAGTTTGGTAAGGTCCTGAGGAGCTCACCACACTACCAGGAAGTGCTCTGTGAGGCCTGTGGTGGAAATGGCCTGCTATAGGAGCATGTGTGGGTCCTTAGGCACACGATGAGAGTTCTCACTCTGCCTAGTCTGCTTCTTGCTCAGAATCAGGCTAAGGGCCAGAAGCTCTTGGATCCTCTGAGGATTTGCATACCAAGGACAGGTAGGATGCAGGTGGGTCCTCTAATTCAAGCATTGCAGCCCTTCCATACCCAACAGTATCTCTTCCATGTCTTCATCTTGGTGCCAGGGATGACAACCTGGGCTGCTTCTGCTAGATCTGTTAATGCCAGTGTGAAGTTTTCAACTAAATAATAAAATAATTACAAAAACAGTTTAAAAAGACACATTGCACTCTCCAGCCAGAATTGTGTGAATGACACACACACTCACTGCCAGAAGCTGTGAGTCCCTTGGGACCTGCCCAATGCCAAGGACTAGTTCAATGGAGATAGCTTGCCCGGTATTTATTTTCTCTAACCCCATGTTTAGTTCAAGTGGAAAATTACCAATAGTCACATACACGTGTGCAATTTCCATGCATGTGGAAATTACCAACACACACACATACTTAGCCCTCAGAAAAAAAGAGGGAATCTTAATTCATTAGCAATGTGGACTGTTCTCTTTCTAGAGAGTTCTGCATGGAGATTCTCAAAGATTAGCTATGTGGCTATATTTACTCCAAGGGAAAGACCCTTGCAGGGGCCTACTCCCTCTCCCCATCCATGCAGAAATTCACAGATGGTGGGTTTGGAGCAGCAAGCCTACAGCACTGCAGGTAAAGGGGACAGATCAGTAAGGCTGTGCCTACTGTTCTGGGGGACTGAACTCTGGGGTATTAGGCCCAGAGAAGATGTTCTGTTCTGCCACTTTCCTTGCTGCCTAAGAAAGGAGGCTGGTATGTACTGTCATAGGGATTCTATCTGCAGAGGCAGGGCTCACGCCTCAGGTCCAAGTCACTGAGATGAACAGGATGGCCCAGACTCAGCCCCAGACCTTCTGCAGGCCTGTAGGAATTGGACCTCACCAGGTATGAGGGCTTAAGGCACCTACACCCTCCAAATAGGTTTATGTTCAGGGTTCCTGCCCATAAGCTGAACTGAGGTTCCATAGTTTTAGATTCAAACACACATCCAAAGCATCATAACTTATATAACAGGAGCCTGGGGTGAGAGGGCTGCTGGGAATTGTTTTTAGGATAGGTCTCTCTGAGCAGCTGGCTGCAAAACAACGGAAATGAAAACAAGGAGCAGGTCCTAGATCTCCTCTCTGCTCTGGGGACTAGGCCCAGGAGGTCCAAAGCCCTGTGCCATTTCCCCAAATCCCTTTCTTCTGGTAGTTAGCACTCAATGGAGGGAGGGGCTGCCCTCTGGTGGCCAGCCCCCCCCCCTTCGTGTCTGGGAAAGACGGGACAGGAGGTCTGAGACACCAAACCCATGGCCCACCCAAGTACCCCACACTGGCGACTCCTCCCAGCAACCCCTCCCACTTTCTGCAGACTGACTCAACAGGGTCTCCCTCCATCCTGCGGTAAGCCCTGCATCCTTCTTGGTAATATTGCACTTTTTCTGTCTCAGATTGTTTCCATTTTCCATTGAGAATGTAAAGTATTTGGAGGGAGTAAGGAGAGTAACCTTAAAGAAATTATATATTAGTTAGATACAAACCCAGGAAGTATACGGGTTATTTCACCTGTTTTTTTTTCTTTTTCTTTTTTGTTCCCCCTCCTAAAAACACTACCAAAGGTCTAAAATTAAACAGTTCTATGTCTATTCTGCAAGTACTAGTCATATGAAAATGTTTGACCAAAATTCCCTTGTCTTTTTTTCCTTAGATGATAAAAGTAGTTAACATGCCTTGCTGAGGAAAGCAATGGATATAAACACCAGTAAAATATGTTGCTCTAACATCTGAAAGTGATTACAATAATTCTATATAATGCCTTCGTCCAAATGGAGACTTGAGGAGGGGTGAGAAAGAGAAACCCTTGAGGCCAGGCTGGGGCTGCTGCCGAGGCCTGGCAAACAGATCCCGCTTTGGAAGGAGCCCCCAGGGCAGAAAGGACATCTGCTGCTGGGAGACCCCTCCCAGCTCCCTCTGGCTGCCCCCAAGGCCTAGAGCCAGGCAACACAGCCAGGCCTGCTAAGTGACAAACCGGCAAGTGTTTGAGAGAGATGAAGACTGCCCCCCCCTTGTAACAAAAGAATAAAGGTCTTTAAACTGAAAGAAAAACAAAGCACCAAATGATGTATCTTCGGGCATTATATAAACCTCAATAATGACCTCAGAAGGGCTCATTATGATTAAAGTTGCAGTATACAGCAATACAATGTCATTTCACATTTTCAATCGCCACTAATGGAAAACTAGGTTTGGACATTGCTAAGATTCCATTTTTTATTTTATTTTTTCCTTTTAGTCCGATCTGGTTTTCCTCCAGATGGGTCAGAGCCCCAGGCCCTTCCCTCCTCCGCTGCTGCTGTAGTCTTCTATCGTAAAGCAGCTCAGTAGCTCTAGGGAAAGGCCCTCTTGCTTGGGCAGGGCTAGGAGTCTGCCAGGGACAAGGCCTGGCATCTCCTGGCCATGTCTGAGTAGGCCTGGCATGCACCCTTCTTGTTTCAAGTATTCTTTGGGTTTGCAGGGTTTGTGCTGTGCCATAACGGGTTGGTGGTGAAGGACCTTGGCCACCCTGTTCACTGCCCAAATGTACAAGCTGTCACTAGGTGGCAGCATTCCCCACTTTTCCCAGATGCCTGAGTGACTCCCAGCCATCCCTGGGGCTGGATGTAACAATGTAAACATGATGACCACACAATAAACTATAAAGGGGCAGGAGAGGAACACAGGATTAATGCAGTGGGGGAAATCTATTAACTAGCTGGGTAATTTAAAGAAAGTCATTTCCTGCCCTTGGACTGAAGTAACAGGAAGGGAGAGGATGGGATAGGATGGAGTAACCTCCGAGGTCCCTTCCAGTCCTGCTCTTTAAATGATTCTATGACTTGAGAGCACTGGGAATTGGGGAGAGTCTGCGAGTTGGGGCTGGAGGATGTGAGTGCAGAGATACTGGCAGGGCAGTGCAGACAAAAGAAAAGGTGGGAGTGGCAGAGTCTGGGGATCTAGGTGGTCCCGTCCAACCGAGATGCTCTGGGCCTGGTTGGCGCACTAGTGACTGAGCTGGCTCAGTGCAGACATCTAAGGAGTGAGGCTGTGGGCCGAGCCCCTGGCAGACAGCTATGTGGAAGGTCCTTTCACCCGACAGTCACTCTACTTTTAAATTTTATTTTAAATAGTCATAAATTACTTTTTCTTCTTTTAATAAATATGTGCTGCTTAAAACTGGGAGGAGGAGATACTGCATCTTTAAGTAATGCACTTTGCTCTCTGGGGTTCTTTCCATTTCACCTTATTTAAAGTGCATTAATTAAAAAATAATGAACCACTTCTTTATCATTATTGTTCAAATAAGTACAAATAATATTAATATGAGGACACTAAACCACTACATTAGTACTGCAATCTAGCAGATTAACTCAATATCCTGCTCTATTTAATACTGTCCAGCAGAAGAAAATAACTAATTTCAATTTTAAAACAAATTCATGAACACAGAAAAGGAAACAGAACAAAGTCACCACATGCTTTTGACAAAGGAGGCAAACCATTTGCATTTGCATGTGGAAGGGACAAGGGCTTGGGGATCTGGGAGGTTAGGGTAGGGGGCTGAAGGCACCGGGATCTGGGTCCCAGCAGACCTGCCTGGAAGGAAGGGTGAGGACACACTCCCTCCTGGGTTGGAACCAGCAGCGATGCTGGCATCTCAGCTGGAGGCTGTAAGGCAGGATTTGTCCCAAATCAAGGCACATGTGGAATCCACTCCCAGCACAAGGGGAGTCCTTGGGAAAGCCGGCTGGGCTTCTCGCTGGAGGGTCCCTTCTGAAACGCCAACCACTGAATCATAATCCAAAGCTGACAGAGGACTGCAGGGAACTTCATTCTCTTCTCTCTTCCCTGGGGCACTGCCCCTGGGAAGACAGGGCTACTCCTGGCTCCAGGGTCCTCCATCTTCTTGGGCATCTGTGGCACTGCCACCTGGCTAAAGGACACAGCAGATAGTGTCTGCTCCAGGCTGTCCCAGCTGGGGCCCCCTTCCACACAGGGTTGGTGGTGGCTGCTTCTCCACAGTAAGGCTTTCTTTGGGACCTGTCTGGGTAGGAGAAAGCAGGCAGAAGCAGGCAGGACGGTCACCCAGCAGCCTGGCTTCTAACAATGCCCTCTTCACTCTTGGGCAGGAACCAGAACACTTTGTTTCACTGAGCCTGGGGCCAGGCCTTACCCAGGCCAAAATCCCCTGGCAAGGTGCTGTGTGGCACCATCCACACAGTGGAAACCAAAAGAAACGACTCGGCTTATGGAAGAGCAAGAACATGAAACCAAAATCCAAACAAAACACCCCTCCGCAGAACTCAACAGAAAAGTCCCACCCACCACTACCCCTTCTATATGAGACTGAGCCCCTCGGGCCCCCAAACAACTCCTAAAATAAGCCCCAAACCAAAGGCCTGACATATAACCTCCAGACCAATAAACTTTTCCCGAACATGCAAAAGCAACAGCCCACTCAGAAATCCTAAAGTAATCTCTAGATTCTGAAGAGCCTGGCATCACCCTCTCGGTAAACTCCCATATTTTGTCCTCCATGTGCCCCAAGGGCAGGCTTGTTTCTCAAGGCCAGGACAGTGACAACAAAGAAAGGTGGTCCTTGTTGGCACCTGGGAAGTCTTTTAACTAGCAGACATGGGCTATGACCTGGCTCCAGGAAGGGCTGGACTCCCAGGAGACACTGCCAAGCCTCAGAGCTGGTGGTCTTCCAGGATATCCACCAGTGTTGGGTGGTGGAATCCTTGGAAACCAGCCTAAGCTCAAACACATATTAGAACAACACAGGGGTGACTTCCAGAGGCAAGAAGCCAGCCACTGAAGTGGCCAAGCAGAGGCCGGACCCTGGAGGCCCCTCATGACATCTTTTCCAGATCTGCAGCAAAGGCACAATTGGGCTTTCCTACATGGCCTCTTCTAAATGGCACATGGTCCTTCAGCAAAGTCACCAGTGTGCATTCGGGGGGCCTATGTGCCAAAAGCCCCTGCTATTCCCTTTCTCCTATTCTCATCATACCCTCCCTTCCAGCTGGAGGGTGTCTTTGAGGTCACATGTTCTGCAGGCTCAATGTTGTCCTTCCCCTTGTCTGCACACCACCACTGGCAGCCACAGCAGCACACTGAGTCTGGAAGGACCCTGTGCCCTTTGTTAGTTCTTCTTCTCAAGGTAGTTAGAGGGCACCCAGCCCTTGAAGGGCTTCACCTCATCCAGGATCTGGCAGTACCACCAACCATTGGGGTTCCTCTCCAGCACCTCCATGGACACCCCCTCTTGGAAGCCTGCCGTCTCCTCATCCCCCTCATAGTCTGCGATGGAGATGTACACATCTTTGAGGTTATTGTGGATGAACTGGGATTTCTCGATGGGCTTGGGGCGCAGTGGGGACATGGGGATGCTGTTGCGCTGGGTGGGCATCAGGGGTGATTCTGAGCCCTGGCTGGCAGCTCGCTCGGCCAGGCGGCCCTTGGCCTCAGCAGCTGCCGAACGTGCAGTGCTAAAGGAGGAATTGCGACGAACACCTCTGAGACTGTCGGTGGCTGTAAGTGACTCATTCCTCCGTAGGGCACAGGACAGGTTGTTGTCTTTGGGTGGTGGAGACACAAACACAGACTGAGGCCTGACTGCCACCTGCCGCACGCCATTCCTCATCTTCACGGTTGTGGTGCCTGAGGGCTTGCCAAAGCCCCCAGGAGGCTTAGAGGGGATGGGTGGGGTGGCCCTCTTGCTCTGGTTCACAGTGTTGAGTGCTTGCACCCGCTTCTCGATCTTTTCTAGGCTGTCTGACTTGCCTTCATTCTGCTTGCTCTTTACTGCATCTGGCTCTTTGATAGAGGCTTCAGGTTGCTGCTTCTCCTCAGCCACTAAATAGTGGGAGGGAGCCCAGCCCTCCAGCTCCCCAAACCTCACATACCACCACCCACTTTCCAGCTTCTCTAGTACTTGCACCTCAGCACCTGCGGGGAAGCTGATTTCCGAGTCCTGGACCTTCTGATAGGCACTGCATGTCATATAGGAGGTGCCCTTCCCTTCCCATTCTTTCTTGGGGACACATGGAGGGGTGGCAGCTGGGAGGGGGATAACATCAGCAGAGCCTCTCCTGGACCCCTCAGAGGCTGTCTGGGGGGGCAGTTCTGAGTCCTCACTCCTGGAGCCCTTGAGGCCCCCTCGGAGCTGGCCAGTGGGTCTTAGTTGACGACGTAAGGTGCTAATGTCCATCTTCTCCTGGCTCTGTGACTCAGCTCGGTTCAGGACTGGCTTTGGTCTCACTGATGGCTTGGCCCGGGCACAGGAGGCCAGTCCAGCCTTCATATCGGCATCTTTCTTGGTCCCGACCTTGGGAGTGCCACGGATGCCTGCGTCCGAGGCAGAGCGTGGCTTCAGGTCACCACTGTTCTTGGACAAGGAGGAAGAGGAAGAGGATGAGGATGATGAACAGGTGGTGTTGATGGTGATGGAGGAGGAGAAGGAGGCTGAGGACTGGTTTTTCCCCAGTTCTGCCTGGGCATTATTCTCTGCTTTGAGCTTTAGGAGTGATGATGATTTGGGGGAACCTGATTTGGGGGAGTTTTTCACAGCAAGGGACAGTGAGGAGCCCCCAGGGGAGTCACTGTCCCCAGAGGAGCCTCTGGTGGACAGAGCATCCTCTGCACATGGTCTGAAGCCCTCATTCTCATAGATGGTCTCCTCTTCCAGGGCCACATCCTCAGAAGACTCACCCACCTTGAAGCGGGCCCGCTGTAGGGAGGAGGCGGGCGAGGGCCTGCGGGGTTGGCCAGGCTGCCTGTCCCCCGAGCCTCTGTCCTCTGCAGGCTCCTCGCTCAGCTCTGGCTCTGAGTCAAAGCCAAAGGCTGGGATGTCATACTCGGGTTCCTCATACTTAAGCTTCAGTGGGGAGTTCTGGTTCTCACTGGTAGTCACAGGACTGTCCTCGATCTCCTTAGACTTGCTGGGTGGCGCGGGTGGGGGCACCTTGGGCCGGGTCAGCGTGCTGGTGCGGCGGCTCAGGTTGGGTTTCTTGCGCTTATCGATGTATGAGGCAGGGGCCCAGCCCTCTTTCTCCCCAATCTGTACGTACCACCATCCACCTGAGTTTTTATCAATGACCTGGGGGAAGAAGGAGAGGCCAGTGAGTGATTTGGGAGGGTCTCTGGGCCCCTAAAATGACCCAGCCTATTTCATAGACCTCCTACTGAACCCTTGAGCAAGTGGCTTAAGACCCAAGAAAGTCAATGCAGGCCACTTTCAAACCCTGGCCTTGGTTGGAGGCTCCCACTCTTCTGATCCCCAGGCTTTCCATATCTGTGTCAAAACCCTGGTCAAGTGGTCTTCCTCTCCAGACCGCCACATTTCTCCCCTTAAGCTATTACATCCTTCCTAATCCCTATAAAACCCAACCTGCCAAAGACTCATATGTATAAATAACTGGTCCATTGCTCCTGTTCTTCACCCATTTCCTGTATCCCTTGAAAGGGCCTCTCAGGTGAATGGGAAGAGGCAGATGAATCAAACCGGAAGGTACAGGCCTGAGACCAGATCCTCCCTATAGAACATCCTTCCAGTTTCCACTGCCTGTGGCCACTTTACTGTCTGTGAAATCACAACAAAATCCCATTAGCCAAAGAGATTTCTTTGGGATGAATGGTTTCCTGTAGGAAGGGTGAGGAGTTTTAGTTATTTTCAACATTAGGATAAACTAGCTCAAGGAGCTTCCTCCTTAACTTCCATCTGAAAAGAGCTAATATGGTCAGGGGTATGGCAGCTGGTTATGTGGGGTTTACCTGCACTGGGGAACATGAAAGGTAATTTGGGATTTGAAGAAACTTCTGGAGGAAGTAGTCCTAGGGAGAACCTCTGTGGAGAGGAGCATGGTGGGATGAGGGGTAAAGTAGGAAGAGATGGAGAGGGAGGGTCTCACTATGAAGACCTCTCAGGCCTGGAGCTCACAACTCTTGACTTAGCCCCTGAAGGGCTGGAATTATAGGTATGCTTTACCATGCCTGGCTCAGACATGTGATTTAAAACATGTTTGAGTAGCTGGCAAGATGGCTTAGAGGGTAAAGGTACTTGCTTACATAAGCCTGACGACCTGAGTTTGATTCCTGGACCCACACAGTGGAAGGGGAGAACCAACTCCTGTCGTCTGGCCTACACACACACACACACACACACACACACACATAAATATAACAACCGTTTTTTTTTGTCTTTTTGAGACAGGGTCTCCCTGTAGCCCCAGCTGTCCTGGAACTCATTATGTAGACCAGGATGGCTTCGAACTCACAAAGATCCACCTGCCTCTGCCTCCCAAGTGCTGGGATTAAAGGTGTGTGCCATCATGACCGGCTTATAATAACAATTTTTAAAAAACCATATGCCTCCTCTTCAGGAAACAAGGTTGGCCCAGACAGTTTCCTATGTATTTATACTTCATGACTATACAAAGCCACTCAAGAGAAACTACTGAGTCACAGACATTCTCTGACCCTGGAATACCATGCTCAGCAACAGCAAAACACAAGTGACACAGGGTGTGGTGTCACATGCTTTAATCCTAGCACTCGGGATACAAAGGTAGTGGATGTCTGTGAGACTGAGGCCAGCCTGGTCTATATAGTGAATTCTAGGCCACCTGGCGCTACAGGGAGACCCTGTCTCAAAAAACAACAAAAAAAGCAAAACACAAAATACAACAGTGCTTTTTCACACAAGGGTTTGCTTTGTACCGTTTTAGTCACCCCTGGTCAACTGCAATCCAGAAATATTAAGTAGAAAATTGCAGAAATAAACTGTAAGTTTTTTTCTTTACATATATATATATATATATATATACACACACACACACATTGGCGAGGCACTGTGCCATGGTACACATATGGAGATCAGAGGACAACTTGAGAGTCAGTTCTTGCCTTTCACTATATGAGTCCCAGGGACTAAACTCAGATTGCCAGGCTTGGTGGCAAGCACCTTCCTTATCTGCTGAATCATCTTGCCAGCCCACCATTTGTAAAATTTAAATATCTTACTATACCACATTTTAATAATGATTCTACTTTATCACTGGTTATTGCTGTTAATCTCTTACTATGCCTAATTTATAAATTAAACTATCACAGGTATATACACATGTACATGAAAAACAGTACATATACAGTTTGGCACTATCTGTGGCAGGGAATTGGGGTGGAGTGTGGATGAGATTGGGCAGCAGTGGCAATCTTAGAACAAATCCCCTGTTGATAAAAGGGACCAATGGAAAGCTGCATAAATGAAGTTGGGAAAGGCACCTCAGGGCCTGTTAACCCTTTGTAGAGAAAAATACTTAAGAATCTGAAGGGAGAAGTGGGTGCATCAAAGGTCAGAGTTTCTGTGGCGTGGGTACAGCTGGCACTGGGTCCCAGTATCTCACCCCCCTGCCTGGACCACATTCTCCCTATAATAGCACTTCATGTGGGTACTCAGGAATCCTAGCCCCTGGGAGAGAAAGCTTATAGACCAAATGGGCACTGCCTATGCTAGATGATAGGACGTCCTGCCAGAACAACGTAGATCAGGTATGGTGCCTCATGCCTCTAACTAGCATTTGGGAAGCTGAAGGAGGACTGACATGCATTTGAAGCAAGCCTAGGCTACACAGTGAGTTCCAGGAGAGCCTGGAGTATTATAGAGTGAAATCCTGTCTCAAAAATCCAAAACAAGGGGCTGGCAAGATGGCTCAGAGGGCAGAGTCTGGTGACCTGATCCGCAGAACCTATGTAAAGGTGGAAGGAGAGAACCACATAAATCACACACACACACACACACACACACACACACACACACACACCCCTAAATCAACCCCCCCACCCCAACAAGAATCCCTGATGAAGCAAACTGCCCTCAAAGTTCACATGCCCACAGCAGTACATGGTTTTGAGGGTCCCCATGCTCAGACCTGCATACACTTTGGGAAATGTCACTATGGGGCAAGCACTGTGGGCAAGTGAAGCATAGAAGGCCAAGTCCTGGGCTTTAGCTCTGGCTGTTGCTCTGCCCAGCTTCAGATAAGTGCTCATGGCTGGCAGGCTTGTTTCTGTACCTCTCCTGCCTGACCTTCAGGAACCCTTCTAGCAAGACATACAACAGGAAATGCAGCTCCTTGACCTGGAGGAAGCTTACCTCTGCCTTCTGTCCACCCCGAAAGCTGATCCCATCAGAGATACAAGACTGGAATTCAGCAATGGTGTAGTACTCCACTTCCACAGAAGGGGGCTCTGGTGGCTTGGGCAGCTGGAACCCCTAAGGCAGAAAGAATCAGTGAGCAATCCAGCTGATCAGAGCAGTACCAAGGCCAGGGATTATTGCCCACTGGGTCCCTGGGTGCTTGGGGCCATTGCTGCCAGCTGGATAGCAACTGGCCTGGCAGACATCTGTCATCTACACCTCGGGGCTTACTCCTAAGAAGCATAGAGGAAGCTCTGATGACATTCAGAATTCACATGACACTAGTTTGAGCTATGGGGACTATTAACCCAGCACATTCTGCACTGACACTAGTTTTAAGTGCCTCAGTAACTGGGTTCCAAGATTGGAGTGAAAAGGCAGAGGAATCATTCTAAAGACACCTGGGCACTGCTATCTCCTAAGTCTAAAGGAGAGTCCCAAGCCAAGTAGGCAGCTAGAGAGGCAGGTGAGGGCCAACCATCTCCAGGGAGGTGAAGTGGGAGTGTCGGGGGGCAGGGTTAAGGAGGGCGTCTTTGAGGGGTGGTCAGCCTGTCAGTGCTGTGAATAGAATGCAGGGTTCTGTTTCAGTGTGTAGGCAGAACATACTGGAGCTTAAATGCCTTTTAGATGCTGGTGCACAACTTTTCCAAGTGTGACATTCAAGGACACTTAGAATCTACGAACCACATTCATTCTTTTACAACCATTTGCTGTTGTGCCTACTGTGTTGGTCTAAGGTTCTGGCACCCAGTATAAACCACACAGCCAGACAGCCTAGTGGACTGTAGCTACAATGGGTCTGACGTGCTTGTGTCTCCTTATTTATACTTTCTTTCATACCAAAGGGTTGACACAAAGCAAATGAAAAGGCAGTGTGTATGTGGGGTGGGGGGCAGCTGTGGTGTGGAAGAAAGACCTAGAAGACTCTGCTGGGCCATCTGTAAGGCTCTGGGTTAGACCCTTGAGCACTCTGAGCCTTAGTTTCCTCATCTGGAAAACAGAACTAAGAACAGGGTCATAAAGAGGATTACTGAGATAGTAATAACTTCTGGCCCAGTGAGGAGGGGTGTAGAGAGTTGAACAAACAGAGGCTCAAGATTAATACTCCTTAAAGCTGCTCCTCTTCTTCCCATCTTTCCTTACCCTTCAAGACTCATCCATCTTCTGTCTGCCAGTCTAAGCTAAGCCTGTCTTGGGTCACTCTGAGTGAGGGATGGGAGGAAGATGATTTATGGGGAGGGGGTGTGAAACAGTCATCTTTCCCTGCCCCTGTAGTTATGCATGGAAGCTGGCGCTGCCAAGTCCCAGTCCTGCCTGTACCCTGGCAGGGTGGGATTCAGCTGGGCCTAAATGGAACCAGCAGCTCTGCCTCAGCAAGCTTGCATTTCTACGTGTGGAAGGAATGACCCTGTTCTTGCCAAACTCAAGTCTGCCTGAAAATAATTAGCTGAGGCTAAAAGAAAAGGAAGAAATGGAGCATCCATTGTTCAGCTGTAAAACCTCAGGAGAAAACAGATACAAATTTCACTGGGACTAATGACTAAATTAAGAAAGACTCATGGCCAGAGGCCACATCTTCAAAACCTCCCATGTATAGAGAACCTTGACTCCCATGGATAGACTTACCCCTTCTCCAGGGCAGATGGCACTGGAGTAACATGTTAAGCCAGGTGTGACTTAGGGATCTGTCCCACAGAAGAATGCCAGGTAGTGCTGCCAAATAGCCAGGAGTCTACACAGGAAATGGAAACCTGGCTGCCAGCCTTTTGTACACACCATTACATCTCATCCTTATGATGGACCTAGGAGGTGGCTGGTACTGTTTCCATCTCACAGAGAAAGAAACTGAGGACCTTGGAGTGTGGGTGACTTGCGAAGGCTCTTTCTGTTCCTAAGTGTCAGAAGTAGAATGCAAATCTATGCCAGGCTCCAATCTGTCCTTCCAGGGATGTTGGGGATGGAAGCCCAAGGCCTTGTGCATGTTAGGCAAGCCCTCTACTACCGAGCTATACCCTCTCCTCGAAGCTTATCTTTCCGCTACATCTCCTTGCCCCCTGACAACAGGTCTTTGTTCCAGGACCCTCAGCTTGTTTCCAACATTGCTGTTCCCAAGTCTTGGCCCCCAAGTGCATATCTGCCTGCCTGAGATGGTGGCCACCAGGAAATCCTACCCACTCAAGAGCCAAGGCCCTCAGCACTGTCAGCCCTCCATGAGCCAGATCTTGCAATTCGCCTTCTTTCTTGGAGGATAGGATGCTCACAGGTCTACCCTCTGCCTTCCAGTGTCTGGAGCCCATCACATCCACTAGGCAATTCTGAGAAAGCTTCAAGGATTCCAGGGTAACAAGGGCAGCAGCCCCATTTCTAGCCCCTGGCAATACCCCACTGGACACTCCTGCCGGCCAGTCTAAATGTTTATGTCTGCCAGTGCAGTGGCTGGGATGGATTTATTTAGCTTTGGAGTATAGTGCGTTTCCGATTATAAACTGTCTGGCCATGCCCCAGAAAGCCCTGTTCTGCAGGCTTCTGTCCCTGTCCCTAGCCCTGCAAAGATGGAAACCCTAGCAAAATCTTGCAGACCCCTGGGCCACAGGCTCTGCTGTAAAGATGCCGAGTGAGGATGTGGCAGTGCACCCCAGAGAAGCAATGAGAGTCAGTTCACATACCAGGCTGGATTCTCTGCGTGGGGGAGGTCTTGTCCTTAGGTTGGGGGAGCCTGGAAGAAAACACATGGCTTTAGGAATCCTTGTTAGAAAATGGGCAACAGTGCCTGCACCTGCCTTCCCCAGGGTGATTTACTTCTGATATTTAGAACTTTGGTTCCACATTTATGAAAGACCTTATATTCTAAGTCACAAGAAGAACTAACAGATCTTTAAGCCTTTTCCTTAGTAGGATCCATGAAACCCCTAAGATGATGCACACACACAACCTGCAAGCATTGCAGACAGTTTTCAAGGCAAAAACTGCATGAATTTATCAGATTTTTATTGGGAGCAGGGACTGCATCTATTTTTTGCTCACTACTAAGTCCTTTGAAGCCAGCACAAGGTCGGCAAGGGTCCCACCCAATGAAGATTTACCGAATGGCACCTAAAAGGTTTCAGGCATGAGAGAATGAATAACCAAGTTAAGAGATAAACTGAAAAGAAAAAAAAAAAAAAAAAACCCAAAAAAAAAGAACCCAGCTATTTTTCCCATATTATTGGTGGGACACAAACAGAAACTGGCTCCCTGTAATACCAGAGGTGTTGATGGGCCAGAGGTGGCAGGGAATAAGTTTACTATAAAAACAAAGGAGATCTTTGAAATAAGTTTTGTCCAAACCACTTTGTGAAAGGTGCGCTCTGCTTGCCAGTCTTGGGTTTCTAGAAACTTATGGAAAGTGATAGGGCAGGAACATGTAAGGTCCAGAAAGATGTTCTTCCATGTCTTAAAAAAATTAATTCATTAATTTTATTGTAGGGGCAGGGTGGTGTGTGCCGTGGCATAAAAGTGGAGGCGAAGGGCTGGAGAGATGGCTCAGTAGTTAAGGGCACTGACTGCTCTTGCAGAGGACCCAGGTTGGATTCCCAGCACCCACATGGCAGCTAGCAATCATGGCAGTTAACTCCAGTTCCAGGGGATCCAACTGCCTTTTCTGACCTCTGTAGACATTGCATGATACAGGTGTACTTATATATATATGCAGGCAATACACTCATATACATAAAATAAAAATAATAAGTAAAATATTTTTTTGAAAAAAGTGGAGGTCAGAGGACAATTTCAGGGAGTCAGTTCTCTCCTTCCACCTTTATGTGAGTTCTGGGGCTTGAACTCAGGTTGCCAGGCTTGCATAGCAAGGGCCTTTACCCAAGGAGCCATCTCACCAGCTCTACTTTATACCTTTTGTTCTGTAAAGCGGCTCTACAGATGGGGCCACAAATTGGGGAGAGTATGGGTTTGTAAAATCAGCTCTATACCAACCCCTAGAGTTCTAAAGCTTTTTCAGAGAGAAAAGATGGCACTCCCTGTTCTTGGGATCTATCCCTCTGCCAAGTGGCCATACCTCATTCTCTCTTAGGGAGAGAGTGGGGTCAGCCATCATCTTCAGAGCAGCAGCTTACAGGGACATAGCTGTCACACTTCCTGGCCCTTTTCACTCTTGTGCCCAGCACAGTACATACTGACAGTCGGTATATAGCTCATATGGAAACAACATGCAGGCCCCACACAGCCCCTAGCTTTCCCTGCACCCAGGTCTTCCCTGTAGGAGCTCTGTAGAAAGGGGGGTTTCGAGGTGCTTACTGATCTGGGCTCTCTGAGGAGCGATCCTGGCCACAGCTGGGGAGCCCTGGGCTAGCTTGGATGTGGTCCTCTCTGGGATACCCAGGGCACTGCCATTGGAGGCATTGCAGAGGATGGGCAGGCTGATCTCCTTCTTGGTAATGGGGGCCTCGGAGCCCTCGCCTTCAGCTGGCGCCTCCTTATCCCCAGATGCCTTCTTGTTCAGCAGGTTGCTGATTTCCATGATGTTCCCGATGATCTCCACTGGGCCTGCCAGATTCTTCTTCCGGGTTGGCAGGTCATCCTTGGCTTTCTTCAGATAGGATGCTGGAGCCCATCCTTCCTTGCCTAGATATCTGTGGGAGGAGGGGCCACACCATCATTAAAGCTCTCATATCTGGTGTTACCCTCTACTTCCAGGCCTCAGTCTCCATCTGACCTTGCCCAACCAAGCCTTCTCCCCCATATTCTGCTAGAGGCTCTGCAGCTCCACTACTCCAGACTAAAACGAAGCTGGGGATCAGTGGGAAAGACATGAGACACTGACATAACTTCTTCCCTTTTCAGATGGCTCCAACCCCCATCCAGCCTTCTCAGCATGAGCATGCACTCTCAGGCAAACATAGGACTTTAAGATTAGGGTTCTTAAACGTTGGTCTGCCCAGAGGGCAGACTTCATGATGGCCTGTTACTACATGATCCAAGAAGTCAAGGGCAATTCCAGAGGTAAGAAGTGAGAAGCTGTGAATATGGTATGTACTGTCACATGACTTATAGGCAAGAGGTGGCACAGGTGACAGTCCTGATCTATGCCACCATGGATAAGTCCTTTCTCTAGAGTTCAACATTCTTCTCTTCTGTAAGATGCAGGCACGCAGCTGCTAAAAGGTATCCAGAAGGACAGAAACCCTAAGTCCGACGAAGATTCTTTGAAGACTGATGGTTGGGCATGGTGGTAGATACCAGAAATCCCAGCAGTTAGAAAGCTTGAGGCAGAAGGATCAAAAGTTCTAAGCTGGGGGGCTGGAGAGATGGCTCAGCAGTTAAGAGCACTGACTGCTCTTGCAGAGGACCCTGGTTCGATTCTCAGCACCCACATAGCAGCTACAAACCATCCTTAACTCCAGCTCCAGGGGAATCCGAAGCTGCCTTCTGACCTCTGTGGCATTGCATGACATGGGTATACTCACATACATAAAATAATAATAAATAAAATATTTTTTAAAAAAGTTCTAAGCCAAATGTGGGTAACCAACTGCTTTTGGATTGGATTTAAGGCCTGTTCTATAGGAGGAAATTCATGCCTGGTACTGTAAAACTGGTCAAAAGGACATGACTTGGGAGATTGTAGGCCCAAGGGGGGAACCTACTACTGTTGTCTTGCCAAATGGACATGTTGTCAAACTGCCTTCTAAATATATTTATAAACATAGATTTGTGTTGCTTTCAATCTTGGCCAGAGAAATTTCTCTGCAGTGGTCAGTAGTTATTTCAGAGTCTCAGAACTGGTCAAAGTGTTGAGAATAAGTGACCACTGTTCAGCCCTAAATGGGATATCTATATCAACTCTTCCCCATCAAGTCTCAGGGAATATTCCAGAAGGGGGGGTGGAAAGAATATAAGAGCTGGAAGATGGGAAGGAGAGCTGGAAATGCCACTGTATATCCATGAACTCACTGTAGCTAGGCTACCTATACAAGATCAGTCACCATTCTAACAGGCAACACTTACTGGTCTCTGTGGGCTACACACACACACACACACACACACACACACACACACACACACACACACAGAAGCGGACATGAAGGGCGAAGAGGGACATGTTGGGGTGATTTGGGGTAGTGGAAAAGGGAATTGGGGGATGGATATCATCAAAATATATTATTTACATGTATGAAACTGCCAAAAAATAAAGATATTCTTTTTTTTTTAAGTTTTAGGCCAGCCTAGGCTAAACAGTGAGACTCTCCTCAAAAGAGGAAAAGGCTAGAAATGTTGCTTAGTTGGTAGAGTGCTTGCCTAGCATGCACAAAGCCATGGGTTCAATCCCCAGAACTGTATTCACAAGGCCTGGTGGTACACAGCTATAATCCTAGCACTCAGAGATGGAGGCAGGAAGATCAGAAGTTCAGGATTAGAAGTTCAAGGTTATCCTCAGTTACATAGTGGATGCCAGGTCAGCCTGGGATACAAGAGACCCTGTCTGACCAAAACAAAATAAAGCACCACATTAAAAAAGGAGTGGGGGTAGAGGGTAGGGAGGACCTCCCACCCCCACCCAATGGGAGAGGGTTCTGGTCCTGCTGGAGGGACTGTAGATACATCCAGTTCATAGAGTTAAGTCCATAAATGTAACCTTTGAAATCCATGGGGCAAGGATAGATTATTCAATAGGTGATCTGAGGACAATTCATTATCTAGTAAGGAAAAACAAATGAGATCTGGCTTTATATTATATAAAAAAAAATAGAGCCAGGCATGGTGGTTCACATCTATAATCCCAGCACTTAGGCTGAGGCAGGAGGATTCCATAAGTTTGAGACTACCAGCCTAGGCTACAAAGTGAGTACCAGGCCAGGGCCTTATGTCAAAAAAAAAAAAAAAAAAGAAAAAAAAACTCCATGAATTCTTAGGTAATCTTGGGGGTTGAAAAAACTTTTCTAACTGGGGTTCCAAAAGCAGAAACCATAAATGAAGACAAAAGCACATGACTGATGACTGGATAAAATCCAACCCATTGGTATGGCAAAACAAAACAAAACCAAACCAAAAGCTAAAGGCAAATGGCAGGGCTGACTTAATTTTTGGTAATTCAATGACTTTTTGAGCAAGTTTTTCCCCCTATCCCCCACAGAGCTGAGCCTTGACCAAATCCATGGGGAACTTGCTTCCAGGCCCAGCACTAACTGGCCACAGACTGTAAGTCTAGGTTGCAGTGTCCCCATCTGCTCCCTGGGACACAGCTGGCTCTTTAGAATACTCTTACAGACCAGATATCTCACAAACTCCCCCTCCCTGGAGTGACCTTGATTTTGGGAGTGTGTTAGGTAGAAGAAAAAGGAACACAGATGCTCAGGTAGGAAGTGGCTCTTCATATTCACATCATTAGGGTGCACACAGGTTTCCCCAAACTACCTATCTGAGCCTTGGAGGGGAGGCATTAGTAAACCAAAGGACAGCAAGTTGGGGCTGTGATGGCTCCTGGATGTAATGGGTACAAACAGAAACACAGAATGTCAAGGGTGGAGAGAGAAGCAGTGGGTAAAAGTGCCTGACCTTCCTATGAGCCAGGAGCAAGGCTCAGAGAGGCAAGCAGAGGGAAGTGAGGAGCGTTATGGCAACGCCTGAGCTCCTGAAGCTCAGAAAAAAAGATGAAGACACCTTGCTGGTGTCTACCTATGTGAGTAGCAGAGGAGTGGGGACAGGGCTGTGGGGTGATGGTCAGGACTGTGTTCAGTCTGGAGTACCCATTTCATAGTCCTTTGTGTTTCTTTGTGCTGTATGGATAATGCCCAGTTCCAGGTTTTGTGTTGCAGGGATAGAGCAGGCAGAGCAAAGCAAGGCACCGTGGTGGCTGTGTGTCTGGGCCCAACTTTTTCACAGCTGCTTCAAGTTCTCACTGGTTAAAAAGGATTAAGTCCTTGGAGACAAGAGCTGACTAGAAGTGACTTTGCTAGCTACTTTAGAAAAAGGGAGGGAGGGAGGGAGGGA